CTCTGACATTTTAGTGGAAAAGTAATGGTTATTTACTAACAGTATTTCCCAGGTTGCTGTGAGAGCCAAAAGTGTATCAGCTTGACTAAGGGAAACTGGAATTAAAAACAAAAAGGAAAGATGAGAAGAATGAGGATAATAGGAGGCAGGTCTAGGAAAGCTGGAAGCCACAGAAGGGCATGCTTAGAGAGCTGACTGGATTGAACAGCCAAAGCAAGAGGATATGTGAACTGGAAAAACACCAGAGAGCTAAGAGCCAGGATAATAGTGTAAAAACTTATGACATATCCACACGTAGAGGACAATCAGTCTCAAGCTCTTACTTGGCTAAAAAAGGAATGTTCAGAACGAGAAAAGCAGAAAAGAACTCAAGAAAGAATTTTATTTGTGCACTGCATGACAGGTTGACACAGATGAAGAAGACAAAGAAGGAAGCATTTCTTATTCTTTCTTTTAAGATGAGAATACAGGATATGAAATCAAGTCATATTTGACTTTGATGAAGTTTTAAAGCAAATAAATACTCTTTCTCAAGGAACATGTAAATAATCTGTACAGTATCATTGCTTGAAGGCATTGCTAAGACCAAAAGCATTCATAAATTTAAAAATCTAGGAGAGAATTGTATGCATAAAAGCCCACTGGATCTTATTAAACATCAAGACATATATTCATTACACTTCAGTTTTGTCTTTCTAACCCCACAGGTTACCAGAAATAGATAGAGTCTGCCTAGGGACCATTACCACTTTATGTTTGTCCTGTTACACAGTTTCATGATGCCCTCTTGACTGCCACAAATGGAGTATCAGACTAAGCATGTCCGTGATCTCCTCCAGTCCAGAAAGACTTCTGGTCTTATATCAATGAAAAGAGAAATTATAGATACCATGAGGAAAGAAAACAGAGACAGCATTTGTATTATGTTCAGTCTCCCAGAAAGAAGAGCATTACAGCATTCTAACAGAACCTAAAGAGCAAATTTAATTTTAGTCCCAAATAACCCTGCAATCTAATTGATTAAGAATTGATGGTAATTTTTCTTGTGTGTTTGCTCCTGTAAGTGACAAGGAAATTATATGAAATTAAAAAACAAATAAACAAACATAAAGGAAAAAAATCCCAAGCCTTTCAGCTGTTTGCAAGAATTTTGCTCTTTATCTATATGTATGTTTACATTCTATCTCACTTTAAATACGTGTGGCTAATACTCAAGTAGTACCAAAGCTGGCCACTTGACGGCGATACTGCAACTTAATTTCCACCACGCTTGGCTCGAAACCAGACCAGCCTGTCATATTAAAAGATTGATTTCCTGTAAAGATGAGGGTCCAGCTTTATTTGCATGTATGTTAAGACAAAAAAAAAAAAATAAAAATTCTTTACTCAAGTTTCCAAATGCATAATACACAAAGAGAGTTTCAGTGCCAGTTATATTGACTCATCATAGCACTGCTTTAATAAATTATACTTACTGCACTTCATGACTGGAAAATTACTTAAGAAAAGTTTCATCTGTGCACATCAAGAGTTATACAAGAACACCAGTCAACAAATTCAAGTCCAGGAGGCACCTGTCTATTTTGGATGAGCAAAAGGATGATGAGCCATAGCAGGGGCCAAGGGAAGTTGCTGACACCACAGAAGAACCTCCCCTGATAATGCAGGATGTGGTACTTCTGTGTACAAAAGTGCATCCCTTCATAAAGCACTGGAATCAGGTTGAGAAAGGTTAATGGCAGGGCAAAGGAAGCAGTGTGTTAAGCCTTGAAATAATTAATCATAAACTACTGCTTTGCACACTGGTTTCTATAAAGGAGATAATTATTCAGGGGTCAGCATTCTTCTAAATACACATATATAATGTCGATTAACATAAAAGGAATTATTGCATACATTGACAGAGATGCTTCTCTTTATTGGTACAATATGAAAAATACAAAGCTTCTATTTTATCAATATTTTTTCAACACACAGATGGTCTAAATAAGCAGTTTCCAACTCTCCTCAAAGAAATAGGGCTATTACACAAGCCTCATATCTAAACATCTGTGTGGAAGAAAGCCATTTTCTCCCCTGCATCTCTTGTATCTTCCCATGCTGGGCTCAAATCCGGAGCCACACTTTTATTACCCTTTGACTGCACACAAAATCCTCATGACAGCTCAGGATTTACCTTCTTTTGCTTTCTGAAATGAAATACTGAAATATGTATAATCCAGAGAAAGCCTGGCAGCTGGTGAGCAAAACACACTTGAACTCTTCCTGAACTGCCATTTGACCAATGGTGATTCAAGGAATCATTCTGAAGCCATGCCACTATGATGATAAAAAGCAAAAATGCATTGCAAAAATCATTTGCAATAGTTTAATAACAAAAAGGCAGTGGGGAATGCAGTATTATTTAATGAAACTCCTGTTTTTTCTTTACACAGTTTCTCTCAATCATTGATATCATATAGCTACGCCATCTCTAGTTGTTCTTTTAAATCTCCCTTTCATATTTCCCACATTCTAGTAACTCCTAGCAACCAAAAGGCATTGTTGTACATGGGAGATCAAATTTTGAATATACTTAACATACTGAGTTTGTGATAGCAAAACAAAGTTAACCATAAATGTGGATGAATTTCTCATTAAAAATGTTGTAATTATATTGGTATGAGAAAAAAATTCCTGACCAGAGGTCCATACACACTGAGGAGGTCTCTAAATTATGGTATAATATTACTGAAAGCAGATAATTGAAATTTGCATTTAAAAAAAAATATTAATAAAACCAATTCAGTCAGTTATGGAAAAACACTGGCAAATTTTTCCAGACCAAAGTCTTCCCTCTAGGCTTATTTAGTCCCCGTTGGGTATTCTGTCAATCAGTGGAAAAAGAGGTCTTGGAGATTCTGTCTGTATGTTGACAGGTTGAAGCTTCAAAGTGTGGCAATTTCCATCCTACACAGAGCTGTCAGAAGCTTGAAGCTTAGGAGATTTCTGGACCAGGCTCCTTGGCTGCTACAAGTATGCATTGCTCCACTGGCTACTTTGGGAGGGATAACTCTCCTGGAATTGTATGCCACACTGGCAACTGATGGAGGGCTGCATGAAGTTTTTGAGAAATTTGACAAAATCTCTTAACAAAGGATATCAATGGCTGAATTCATATCTTCTCCCAAGAATTTTCTGATTGGTGACCCACCTGCTGCCTCTGAATCAAATACAGACCCTCTATATGATTTTCCCAGTAGTGCTTTCTAGCCACTTTATGAATTCTCAGTGTCTCCCTTCTCCTGGAAGTTCTCTGCCCCCTTCCATGTTCTTTACAGGGCACACTGTGCTGAAAGGCAGCCTCACACACCCCATTTTCCATAATTTTGTCAATTTGCATGTCAATATCTACATCACTACAGATGTGTTTTCTTTCACAAAAGGTGCCTATGTTTTGGGGTTTTTTTCACAATTTTGATGAGTTTGTCTGAAGCAATGGAAGGCATAACACCACAACAGCAGTAAATAGATTGGAACCCCTATAGATGCACTGCTAGTTCCATCTATCATTTTTATTGCTTCTTCAGCTGCCAAAGTGCTCTGTAAATGGAGGCTGGCACCCTGTTCAGCAGACTTCCCCCAGTGGGAATTGTTTTTCAGAGCCAAATCAAAATTAATAATGACTACTAGCCCTTAACGTAGTCCTACTTGAGCTGCAACAGTGATGCTGCTGGACATTGTGCTATTTTAATAAACATAGACCAAAACTGAATCCCAGGATTTGAAAGCAAGTGACCATTACTCTTCGCAAATCTAAACCAAGGAAAATACATGACAAAGTAATATATCTCTATGGATTTCCATAGTTTAAGCTGTGGGCAAGAGAGAAGTAGATTCAACTCACATAATTTTGGCAATTGAGAATTTGCCATGCTCTCTAAGAATATCATAGCCCATAGAAGGAAGCAAACACTTTCACCAGGAAACTCATTCCAAAACTGGTGTCTAAATTGAGTAGGATGATTTGTTCTCTAGAGGTGTCTGTTTCTTCAATGACTAGAATTAGATAATGAGCTTAAGCTAGGCACTCCACTTGGTGAGAGCTAAAATTGTAGAACGTACCAAACGGCTGATATCATCAACAGTCCTGACAGTGATACCACAACTCAGACTCATCCAAAGCCATGACCTGCTCTTACCCCAGGAAGTCTACATGGGCAAAGCACACCCATCCTTTAACAGCTGCTGCAGGAGCTGATCTATGTAACCTCAATAAATCATTGTCATATTGTGACCTTAATTCTTCAAAAGAGAAGCAGCAGTGGCACAACTGTAGTTTCTTCACAAGGAGCTGATGTGTTACAAGCACAGTCCCCTGCTAGAAGAAGAAAGTAATAGGAAGGCATATTTGCAAGTCCATGGGGCTGCTGAGTAAGCAAGATGTGGAGAGAGAGGGGTATCTCCATGCACTTGGACACGTTCAGAATTAATATAAAACACATATGAAACATCCTTCTTCATAAAACTGAGACCATGGGGGAACCATCCTATCCATGGTATACTTAATTCCCTTTATTTAGAAGTGCCCTGACCCTGACCTCTCCTCCTCTGTTTTACTGCATCTAAAAAAGAAATCTAAACAAACTGTTTTAAATATTTACTTCCCCTTTTCACAACACTGTCAATATCCCAGCAAAAGTTGCTACTGCACAGCAGCACCCAAACTGCTGTGCTTCAGAGAAAAACTCTGACTTTGCAACTACTGTCAAATGTCACCAATAAAAATGGGCTTGGACACATGCAAATCCCAGGCCCCCAGTGCATAGGGCAATGCTTTCCTGCTTCATGAAGCAAACACCACTTGTTCTGAGAAATGAAAACTGCATATTAGGAGAATATTCTCTGTAGGCTGTGGGCTGCTAATAAAGAAGGGGTAAAAGAGAAAAAATATATTCTCTAGGTTTCTGCCTATGTACTTTGCCTAAAAGATGTTAAGCTGAGGAAATTAAATGTTTTACCTTTATGGTAAAATGCTTCTTCTTGGGCGGATGCCAGACCGTGGTGGTTGAATGAATGAATGCCCGCAGAGGTGTTAAGGACGTCACAAGCACATATGCTTTGATGATTACAGAAAGGTCTTGAGCTTTAAGGATGTCCTTGTGGTCTGATGTAGTTGATACTTGATTCCTGGAAAGAAATAAAAATATGTTGCATTTATTATTGTTGTAGCATTAAATATATGTAGCATATATTACAGTTCTTTTGAAAATGAGCTATAAGAAAATAGTGAAATAGTGAAATTAGTGGAAATAGGAAAATAGCCTTTTTTTCCCCTAAATTAAGCAACACAGTAGATTAAATCAGGTTTTATATTTGCAGGGAGTGATGTTTGAGGGTACATATGGGTAACTGCATTGTGGGAATAATTAAGTGTTACAAATCCAGAATATTCAGAGTGAAAGATTAAATCAAGATTAAATGAAACATTAAAGAAATCCAAGCATCTTAAATATCAGAAATACATAGTCAAGGTATCCTATATAATGCTGAATTGTAGTGAATTCAGAAGAACATCCCCACTCAAACCTATGGAAAGACTGCACTATTGTTAGCACTTTACTCTGTAATAAAGGGACAGAAACATGTGATGCTGCGTATTTCCCCTAATGAAAGCCAGTAATTTCAAATATTATGAAAGACTAGGATCCTAGAAATAACCCCTAATAAATCAGTTAAACCTAAGAATTCTGCAAGTAACTTTGTTTAAGAAGTGACACAGCTCTCTATAAATTAGCCTACCTCTACCACAGTACACACAAAGAGAGTCAGCCACATAGAAACAGAACAGAGAAAAAGCAAACCCAAGAAAAAAACCTGTTATTTAAAAGCTTATTACTTGGGAAAATCTGAGCTATACTTGTGCATATTCACAATGGCACTATTAATCTGTCTTGTTAAAATCTCTGAGTATCAATTTACCTCACAGAAAATTCAATGGGAAGATGACTACAGAAATTATTGGTCTCTAAGACTGATCACTGGTAAAAGACAAAGGGCTCTTCTTCCATTTCTGTGTAATTTTTGGCAATATGTGGCCTTTCCAGACCTCAATTCTGCTATCTGTTAAGTAAGTCTAATAAGATCTGTCTTAAGGAGAAATTTTTCTGCCCTTTGCAGAAAAGCAGGTCCTCAGAACATAAAATTTGTGAAATAGTGTGGTGTAGGAAACAGCACTTGATACCAGACGAATTATCAAGTACTTCTTGGTTCTTCACCTAAAGGGAGAATCTCTGTGCAAAGAACTACACATGAGGGTCTGTGCTAGGGGCAAAGCAAGGATAGGAGCAGGAAACAGCTCAGCCACCTTGAGACCTAAAGGTTCTGGGATGTCTCTATATTTATCTGTTGAGGTGCTTCAATGCCTCAACATAAAGACTTGGACGTTTATACCAAGACGTGCAAACTTGGCTAATAACAGGAAAAAACATTCTGCAAGTATGAGATGCAATACATCCAGGTGCTCCATCTGCTGTAGTCTCCTCTTTTGCTCCATTCTGCATCCTTGACTCCCAAAAAACTGTGTGCTGAAGCACTGGCAGTTTCTGAGGGTGGGTTATCATTAACTTACAGCTTAGTGCTCATGCTCTGCGTCCACCAGTGCTGCGGATGGGAGGCATGTGCCTGCTCAATGATTGTGCTGCTCTGGGACACATTTCTTGCGGTGCTGGCCCTTGACAGTCCAGGCTGGCCAGAACAGTCTGGGGTGACAAGTGGGAGCTGCAGGTCTGTAAAAGTACCAAGGAGATGAGAAAGGAAGTCAGCAGAGCACTGAAAGCAGGAGTGGACTCCTGATGCTAAGGATTAAATGTATAAAATACAATAGACAGAGAGGAGCTATCAACATCAGATGAAAATGTAAAATAACAAATGCTGAGACAATAAACCTTTTTGGATCTCCTAGCAGAGAGTTTCACCCCCACCAAACATTCCTTTCCAGCTGCAAGCTGAAAGGCTTAGCTGCAATTTCCACTTTAGAGGTAAGTGCAGCAATAATGCATACAAAAAAGCATCCCCTTTTTCCTTCTAAAAAATTTTGAAATACTTGATTTCCAAATATAGAATACCAAAACTTAGTTTCTTATGAAGCACTAATTACAATTAATGGGGATAAAAATTTCTTTGACAAAGGAACCAAGGGACTTTGCCACTGTAATAACATAGCTCAATAAATAAGCACATATCCTTGTTTCTGTGTTCACCATTAAGGCTACAATTTGCAGGTACTAAAACCTATAGGAGTCAGTTCTGCCACCAAATACAGCGGGAACAGGAGTGATGTACCACAGTTCTCAAGGTTATTGAGGCATGTGACTATTAATAGTAATCAAAATATTGCGATGTGAGATCAGTCAACGAGTGGTATGTATTTTCTGCTTTTACTGTGCTTGATAAAAAAGGCACAAAGTCAATATTTTGACAATATGTTGTGTCAATATTTCATGTCGGTAGTTTTCATTAGCTTAACACACCTCACGTTTCAAGTTCTTAAGTAATGGCCAGGAAAAATCAAGCTGTTCAAATTATTCCCAAACCACATTATTTTTCTTTTTAATGACATACTGCATTGTGCTATGTTATGAATTAGAGCGTATTTTCTAAAGCATGCACTCTCAACTTTGGTACATGAAATGAAAAATAAAACTTATGTTATGTTCCTGGTGATGAGCTGTAAACAGACATTTAAAGAAAAATAATACTCATTTTCCTAGAGAGGCTATTAAAATGACATTGTGATTGTCTGTATTTATTGGCCATTCATCAGATCAGCTCAGCTCAACCTTCCAGTCTCACCTGGGATCTAGAATTAATCTGGTCCTCTGCCTTACATACACCATCTAACAGGATTAAAGGCTCTAATAATCAAAACCAGGCAGTTATTTATTAGAGCACATCATGCTCAAATTATATTCACCCTCCACTGACATCTTTCTGTTGTGTTATGCATTATAACTGATATGAACTTTGCAAGCGACTACCTGGATTTTGACGCTACAGCGACAAAGGCAGACTTCTCTGCCTACTTGACTGTGTAGTGACAGGAGGAAGACAGTAAACTCCCATTAAGTAATTTATATAGCAGACTTGCTTCTGAATATGCCTAGGAATCAGATCTGCAAAATCTAGTTGTATTTTTTCCATATCTGACTTGATGCAAAGACACAAGGGCATTTTAGTATGGCAATTTCTACCCTGTAGATAGACAATGGTAGTTCACCATAGTAATTAGCAATGGTCCCATGTAACTATTCCTGTGCATCACTTTAGCTATTTAAAATAAAGTAAACATTTTACTGAAAATAAGAACATGGCAGAGAAGGGCTGTACATACCATTACTCAAGAGAAAGCAATGTGTCTTCTCCTTTTAAAAACATGTTTCTAATTGTGTTGCTAAAGCAACAAGTAACAACTCACAAGACAGAGTTTGATAATAATGAGGTGTGGCTTCTCTACCTGTACTTATCCCTCTTAAATGAGAGTTTTAGTTGTTTCAGGGAAAGAAAAAGGATTATTTTGACATTAATTAATTTGTTACTACCCAGTGGACCATTTCCTGGAGCTGGATTTAACAAAGTAAAACAAATGGGTAGGGACAGATGAAAAACACAACTGTCCTCGAATTCTCAAACTACCGGGTAGAAGATCGTTAGTATTGCCCTAAGTCATTGAAAAATGCCTTAACTTAAAAAAAACAACAACCTCCAAAAACCCCAGCCACCTCTCCTCCAAAAAAAACCCCAAAAAACACACACAAAACCCCAAACAAACAGACAAAACAAAACAAAACAACAACAACAACAAAAAAACCCCAAAAACCAAAAAATCACCTTCCATGTCTTAAGGAAGAGAAAGTTAAACAAATTTCAGGGTGCTGACGATTAGCACTGAAAACTAAAAAAGGGCAATGCTCATAAATTATGCACCTTCTATAGAGCACCTTTTTGGTGCCTTACACCCCTTTGTTGGTTTTGCGTTGGCATCCCCCTGTGAGACAGCCCATCACAAGGGGGCTCTAAGAAGTGATACTCACTTCCTTTGAGATGACACAAAGCATGTATACCATCAGGCAGAGTTAAAAGGGAGTGACTCTCCCTCACTTTGGTAAATCTACTCCTAGTAATCAATGAACACAATTATAATAATAAAGAGACATCAGTAGTGTTGAACTGAGCACACTCAGCTGCATCCGTTCTCATGGTAACTCTTCACCTGCTCCTGCACTCTAAAGCAGTAACAGTGTTTATTAGAGCTGTGTATTTGTTAATCAACTTTATCATCAATGAAAATTAGCCTGCAGTGCCTTTACTGTTTGCAGTAATTGCCATGTTTTTCCATCTTGAAATCACTCTACAAGCTGTTGTTAATTAAGCAGTCCTCTTGAAGTACATAAACAACATCAACATTTTATAGTGGAAGAGGTGAAGCAGGCTCAGCAGTTGATGTGTCAGGCAGCTTGGGAAACCAAGTTAGAAAGAGTCACAGCATCCTAATACCATGTCCAGACTACATCCACTCTTTCAAAAATTCAAATCTTATTATTTGAAATTTATAAATCGTAATTTTTACAGCAGACTCTAAATATCAGAGGAAAGAAAATTTAAAAAGAGGATTATTTTTCTTTTTACAGTGGCTATGCAGTAATGGAAACCTTACACAAAGTGCTGTTTTTCCTGAGGAGCAGCTGCAGGCTTTGCCACAAGTACTTTTTGCTACTGCCATTTTTAATGCTCCAGTGTAAAGCAAAGGACTTATGGCTGGATACTTGCTTTCAATTTGAAAAAAAAACCCCAAGCTTCACTGAAGTTCTGGCTTGAAAAAGGTTTCTGATGCTGACATCTCTGGAATGGTACCGTTGCAAATGCCAACAAAAACACCACTTCACCCTTTCCTAGGGTGTTCACTGTGAGGCCATGTTGATGAGTAAGGAGGCCACTACATGTTCTCACCTGAATTCACACATTAACCACAGCAGGAGGTAAAATACAGACCTGAGACTTAAGAACAGCTGCATGGCATATGCAGAGGAGGTAGAAAATCCACCAAAGCAAGTCAACACCTCTAGATCAAAAAAATTAAGCTCCTCTTTGTCACATGAACTGGCGGCAGATACTGTTCTGTCAACCGCAATCTATCAAAGTATGACAGTCAAACAGAGCAGTTGACAGTGACAACTGATACCTAATGAAGCAGCCTCACTGACATCTAATGAGGCCTTTCAAGTGTTTTTACACAGCTATGACTTCTTGCTCCTTCTCCCCCCATCTCCAGCTCACAAGTTATTTACTTGTCTTTGCCTCAGAGTTCTGATGTGTAACATGAGATTCAACGCATACATAATAAAGAACAGTTGATTAAAGAGTTACAACATGTGTCTGAGCAAAAGCTTTACCAGTAGCTAGAAGTACATTTGGAAAAATTAAGAATTCCTGGAGCAAAGCCAGGCTGTAGCCACCTGGACTGGTGATAAATGGAATGCTTAGGTTAACACAAACATCTGATGACCTGCAAAGGCAAGGAATTCAGCAGGAGAATACCCTTCTGGTTGAACTGAGTTAAATTTGGTTGAAAGAAAAAGAAACAGAAGATGAATGAGAATGTGTCCTTTATCTTTCCTTCTATAGTATCCCTTAATGTTACAAGTAAGGTTATGATTTGGGTTTTTAGTTAATTTCTTTACTTTGTACAAGATCAAATAGACTATATTTTACACACCTCAGACATGGAGCAAGGAACAATTAAGACTATTGTCTGTGAGAAAAAGGTCATTTTGTTTCTCAAGTGCCCATCAACTGCCAGTTCTGTTACAAACATTTTAAGAGGGATTGAATCACCATGGGAGCTCCTGGTTGTTCAATGAAGCACAAAGCTAGAGATGAATTGAAATGTAACTGAAGTGCTGTGCTTCTGAGCCCAGCACATTGTTCATTTCTTTCATAAAATTACATTGTAAACTCAGCACATTTGTACTTGCAAGGTATTCATCCAATTGCTTTTCTTTTTAGCAAGAAAAAGACAGCTTTAGAACCTTAAAGTACATTGATGCTGAAACTGTAGAGCAGCCTTTCCATCTGCATAGAAACCTTTGGAATGTCTTCCTAGAGTTTCATAGTGGTAGTCTGTTTCTAACAGGAGCCTCAATTCTCTGACATTAAAAAAAAACGAGAGAATGGTACCTCATGTCATTTGTCAGCTGTTTCTACAGTACCATACTCAGGAACTACTGATAATAGGTCCTCTCTGTCAGCTTTGCAGGTTTGCATTCTGACAGGGCACCTCAGTGAGTTAGGAGAACTCCATATTGTTGTGTTGGCTGCTGGAGCACAAAGAGCTTATCTACGATACAGACCAGGCAAGCTATATTTCTACAACATAGTCCTCTTCTAGAATTTACAGCTGGGCAATTTTCCAATCTCTGTAGGTTGGAAAGGTGTGTTTAACAAGCTGCAAAGATTGTTCCACAATCAGGAGATCAGGAGATGCCTAAAATCTTACATAGATTCTTCAGCAGACTTCTGAGTCCTCCAGGACAAGGAATTTTGATCAAAATAAAGCCTGGTAACCTTTGGCTCAATCAGGTACAGCAACCCGCTCTAAGCTGCTTAACTGTGAAAGCAATGAATATGCAAAATGCAATTTTTTGTCTGTTTTTCAGTGTTTATTTTGGAGAATGGATGATTTCACTTGAACCACTTCAACTACATGCCTTGAGACTTGTCACAGAAAGCAGATCTATCCCATTGAACTGCCTCCTGCTACCCATTTGATTTTTGGATGAAAAGACTGAAACAAAGACTAGTACTGTACAATGGCTTATACATTATGCCCTGAGGTTGCTAAAAAAAAGAGAGAGAACCTTTAGCACTCAGTTTTATACCCTATGCATTTAGAAAAGTGTAGCTGTGAAACTCAAAGCAGATGATGAATATTTGAAGGAAACTAGAAATACTAGGGGCAATCCTGCCCCCAGTGAAGTCCTGGAAAAATTTGCATTGAGTTCACTGGAATATGTTTTTTTGCTAGAAACTCAATATGTGATGGTCTTGATATGCATTACGAGCTTTATTTGTGATGTTAACATTGATGCAAGTCTAATATCCTGCCCACTGCTGACTACTGATTCAGCTGCCCTTAAAAGCTTTTTACATTAAAAAAATGCAGTGATCCTACTCTCTGTAACACACTTAATCTGAAAGTAACACACTCTGGATATTTAGAATGGAGAAATGTCAAACTGCCTGTCATTTCTGGAAGTTTAAACTATCCTGAACAGGTTTAGTATTAAAAACCAAACAATTTTATACTAAAACAGATCTAGAGGGAAATTCATTTAAACTGTGGGTTGAAATGCACTGAAATTCACTGTGAAGTTTCAGAGTTAAAAAGATAAAATTATGACAGTGCTACATTTGTACGATGCTGTTTATTTGTCCCTTTAGAAACATCAGCAAATACAGCTTCAGTTTAGATTAATCACTTAACATGTTTTTTACGTCTCTGTTTTGGCAGGTGCATGAAAAATATTATTTACAGCATTAAGTATAGTGTTTGTGTCTTCATTCCTAAAGCATCTTATGAATGAAAGTTAGAAGTGTGGGGTTTTTTTCCAGTATTTTTTAGAAGGGTTGCCTCTTCTGTGTGCACCATTCAAACTAGAACTTAATTACACAGATAAGCTATAAACTTTGGAAAAAGCAGCTCAGTGACAATGCCGGCTGACTGTTGCATGATTAGAGCCACAATTCTGTACTAGTGGCAAGGCAGAATATAGAAGGCCAAGTAATTAACATAATTTAGATGCTTTATTTCTTTTCAAACTACTAATGTTTGCTGTTATGTTGCTGTTCTTATCTAGCTGAGATTTGACACTGCTGTAAAACCAATGAAATTCTTGCCTCACATAGTCTGTAATCAAATTAATTGGAAAAATTAGATGCTGGTTTTATTGGCCACTCCTGAGGCTCCTATTAACTTCAATAGCAGAAAGGTAATAGGCACAAACCTGATCAAAACTGGTATGCAAATATTTATAAGGGCCAGCTGCCAAAAGAAATGCATCCTTCTATAAAAAAAATCAGATTCATGTCTCAGAGATATAGAATTGTTACAACAGAAAATAAATTTGATCTGTAACTCTTCTCTTCCACAGGTGGCTCCACTAAGTCTTGCTTCCTACCCCCTCAGGTCATAACCTTTCATGTCAACTCCAGAGTAACCCAAGGACACTGGGGATAGGCAGCAGAAGAAGAAAGTTAGCACAGGGTTAGCACCAGACCATGAACATATCACAGAGAGGGAACACAGTCACACAGCTGGACTATCTTGGCTCTCCCTCCCATACAATTTCATTAGGCTCATGCCTATCCCAAGACCTCCTGCTGCTGGCCAGCCCAGCAGGAGATCATGGGAGCACATGAGGCTGGCAGACACTCATAAAGTGTCTGCACTAGTGACACTAATAAACAGAAACACAGAAGGAAGGCACACAGCAGAAGTACTACTTTAAAGAAGGATCAATTATTTGCACAGGTAGAGAAAATAGCTATGCATAGCACAGGCTGGGCACTGGAAGTGATGAAATTAGACAAATGCTTACATGGAAAGACACTAGTTTGGATTCCTTAGGGAACAGGAAAATTAGGGAGGCAATGCTATAAACAGTTCCACTACTTTCCCAGGCAAAACCCATCAAATATAGTATTTGTTGCACGTGCATCAGGATGCTTTTCCTGTGTCCTATACTGAATCTGGGAAATTCTGCTTACATTGTGGATTTTAGTCCTCTCCATCCCTTGGCTGGGAGTACTTCCAGGAGGCATCCAAGCCCAGTTCTAAACCCACACACGGTGGGTTACCAGGTATGAACGCCTGAAATCTCTTTTACAGTTATTTTCCAATCTCAGAGAGCTTCTAGGTCTGGGTCATTTGCAGGAAGATTTAATTTCCAGATCACTACAACTACTGAAGCTTTTGCTGACCTGAGCAATAAATGCCAGGAGACTTCCTTGGTTATCCATTAGCTATATCAGAACCTTCTCAAGGCCCAAGTCCCATATAGTGAGCAGACATCAGGCACTTGAGTAAAAACTGGGCCAGTTGCCCTGCAAAAGCACTTGTTCAAACAATCCTCTCAGACTGTGCAGCAAGTAGTCTTCCATGTCGAATTCTAAGATCTTTTACTATTCTCATGTCTCATCACAAATCCTTTGCCACAAATCCACACAACCATCTTCCTGTCTTCAATGGTAATCCAATTTATCCACACACAGCATGTATTTCTAATCTTTTTGCTCCTCTAGTCCAGATGGATTTTCCTAACTTTTTTCTCTTCCCAGCTTCTTTCTTAAAAAGAATTTCATAAGTGCATTATTTCCCCCAACACCATAGAGATAGAAGCAATATGAAATGCCAGACTGACAAAAACATTTTCCATTAAAGAGAAAGAGCAAAGAAACAAGCACTGTCCTGATATTTTGTATAAATAATTTCCTTTCCTATACAACAGGGGTATGAGAATGGGCATGCTGGCTTAAATACAAAGCCTAGAATCTTAAGAGTTGCACAACAACAAATAAAGTAACATGAAAAAAACCCAAACCACTTTACCAGTGCTTATCCACATCACCACTGTCATAGCCACAGTATATCCAGTAATACCATTTTCTCAGCCTTGCTGCCTGGTGTTTCTTTCTACAGCTTGCTATGTCTTTAATTAGAGAACATAATTCTTTGTATTTTCAGTTTTACAGGAAATTGCTTGGCTCCTTGAAGGCTGACTAAATGACAGTAATAACAAACCAACTGATCCTCTTTAACAGGAATTGCAGAGAAACCCTGTTGACTCAAACACACAAGAGGGAAAGTACATAGCTGATTTGAAAGGAAACAAACTGTTTTGTGGAGGAAATATTAATGAGAACTGTTCTTTCTGTGAATAATTTTAAAATTGAGGATCAAACAAATCCTGCTAATTGGCAACTCTGCCATTGTTGGAAAGAGAGATCTGTTGGAGAATGCAAGCAAAAGAAAGTGGAAAGAGCTGGCTTTATCAGATGAATGGAAGGGGGAGTATCTGAAGTCTCACCTCTAGACTAGTTTGCTATAACTTATGCCCTTTTTGTCCCCTGAACCTGAAATCAAATTATTTACCCTTCTCCTTCTAATTTCACCTTTTATGGATAAATTCCACTCATTCTAGATTACATGTCACATATCCAGTGATACTGAATAGGATTAATTCATGGGTTTAAAGGTCTGGTCTATACAGAGATGGCCCCACTGTGTACCACAGTCTAAATTGCCATTCCTGTCAGTGTACATAAGTGTAGTCTATAAAGTCCATGTGGAGCAATTCAGCTAACCCTGAATTATGCTGAAAATAAATGTTCTTTTGGGCTTGGTTACTCTAAACACCAAGTGTTAAATTCAGTATCTACAAATAGACATCCATTGCCATCTAGGATACCACAGGATACCCCTCTAAACCTCTAGCTGCTGGACCAAAA